TAGATAGATAGATAGATAGATAGATAGATAGATAGATAGATAGATAGATAGATAGATAGATAGATAGATAGATAGATAGATAGATAGATAGATAGATAGATAGATAGATAGATAGATAAGGCTCCTGAACTGTTTAATGCTATGCACTTTTAATTACTGTAGCACAAACCAGAAGTTTTCAAGCTGGGATCAGAAAACCACACCTTGTCCCTGAGTTCCATTTTAGTGTTTGCAGAAACAAAAGGAAGAACAGTTGAGCCCAGCTATATTTCACCCTGCACACTAAATTTCTCTATTTATTTCTTCTTCTTCTTTTTCTAACTGCGGAGATCAGGAGGAAAAGCTGGATTACTGAGCCAGCTAGCGAAGTCCTTGTGATTTTTCCAGAACAGCCGTGATGCCTTTTATGAATTTCTGACCCACCCAAGTTCAGTGCAAACTGACAAACAACACAGCCAACTACAAGAACGGTCCCATCCACTGCAGTAAAATAGAGAGGAGCCAAACTATTAGAAAAGAAGTCCTTCCATTCCACTTGATTTTAACTTTGTCACTTTTTTGAAACATCTAATTCTTTCTGACCTGAACCAATGATTCAGAGAGGAGCCAAACTATTAGAAAAGGAGAAGTCCTTCCGTTCCACTTGATTTTAACTTTTTCACTTTTTTGAAACCTCTAATTCTTTCTGACCTGAACCAATGATTAGCAAATTTTGGTAAAGGCTTCAGAAATAAACTGAAGGGATATTTTTCCACCCATCTGCACAAGCGAAATTCAATAGGTGCGCTAATCCCCAACATGCAGAGAACCATGCGGTCTTTGCCTGACGTGTTTATTACAGAGAAGAAGCCTCATTTTAAAAAATTTAGCACCAGAGACACAATTGAATACACAGGTATCTGAAGCCAGATCTTTTAAGGGTTAAACACTCAAAGCCTACCTGTGTTTAACCCGTACAGGGGCTGCCCATTCTACCTATACATCAAGGGTTGGACAGCTGAGGGCGTTAACCCTGAGAGAAGCCAGGAAGGAGAAAACAAGGAACCAGGCCTTCTTAGTGGTGACTCCTCAACTCCGGAATGAGCTGCCGTAGGAAATTTCTTTGGCAACTTTTAAAAAAACCCCTTAGAAATTTCCTATTCTGGCAGTCTTTACAAAATACTCCATCTGAACAGCCCACAGAGAGTATCATTTTTTAAGTTGCCATCTGTTTTTAAATTTAATTTTCATTTTAATGTTAATCTCGATTTTCATGCTATTTTATGTTATTATCACTGCTCTGCGCTGCCCAGAGTGACCACTGGTCCTATGGGCGACACAGAAATCGGACGAATGAAAAATAAGTAAGCAAGCAAGCAAGCAAGCAAGCAAGCAAGCAAGCAAGCAAGCAAGCAAGCAAGCAAGCCCTAGACCTGGACAGAAAAAAAATCTGTCAGTTTCACTTTTTTTGTTCTGTTTTGTTCTTATTTCTGCTCTGCAGAGAATTTTGAAAAAAAAAACCTTATCAAAAAATGAACTGAAATGACATAACTCCTCTCCAGGGACAATTAAAACATAAAATATATTTTATTTAATTTCTAAATCAAACAAAGGAAAGTTTGTTTGATTTAGAAACAAATCAAACAAACTTTTTTTTTGAGTCCACCAAGACTTCCAGAAATTGGATTCATCAGAAAAAAAAAATCACTGGATTCCCCAAGGGGCTTAGATGGTCCTTATGGAGCGTGGGGAGACCAGAGATGGGTTCCTAGAAGCGTTTTTGAAAAGCTGTTTGTAAGAATTTCTGAAAAGGAATTTATGAGGGCCGTAAGTGTGTTCCAGTGGGGAATGTAAACAAGAGAGCCTGCAGGGGCTCATGCACATGGCCCTGATCCACAAAGGCCTGGCCTGCAAACGACAACTGTCAAGTCAAATCAGAACAGCTGTCATGATCAGAAATATACACCCTGCTTGTGAAAGGCCAACAGAAAGCCTTGAAGGGCTACAGAACAGGGGATAAGCAAAGAGGTTAATGGATCAGCTATTATTTTTGCCTGTATTCATGCTCGCTTATGCCCATAAGCGCCCCGTTCTTGATGGTTTTAGCCTCTTTTTCTTCTTCTTCTCCCACCTCTGCTATCCCATCTCCCCCATGTGAACATTTCAACTGCAAACTCCCTGGGGAATTGGGGGGATGGACTGTCACTTCTGCTTATCCTGTCAGGTGCCACGAAGGATGACAGCACTAGGGCAACGGATGCCTGCCAACCGAAGGAACCGGTTCAAGATTGACACTGGCATTTGATCTCATTAATCCCCGTCAGAAAAGCAAACACTGTGAAGCTTAGTCCGGACACGAAACAGATGTTTCTGGTCAGCCGCAAGGCAGATCAAGGAACAGGGATACAACCTGTGCCAGAACAGGTTTGCACTTCCGAGTCTGCAGTTTGGTGGAGAGTTTGGAAATATAAGCTGGACTACCGTTCTCAGAAACCGCCAGCCAGCTTGGTTGGCGGGAGGGGTAGAGTGACAAATTCGGAAGAGCAGATGTTTATCAATTGCAGGAAGCATCTCCCCCACCCACCCAAAAGAAGTTCCAAAAAGGAAGGCAGATGATGATTATCAACAAAGGAGGAGGTCTTTTGTAAAGCTAATCAGATCATAGACAATACAAAAAAACCGGAAAACCTTTGTATCACAAGAGAGATTGCTTTGAACAATCTGCTGTTCCTGGAAAAATCATTTTCTCTGTCTAGGATCATAACGCCTGCAACAAGGTTCAAAGCGAACAGGAAAGCCTGATAGGGATGACAAATTATGCCACCTTGGGTTCTTTTAAAAAAAGGAAGGCAGAATAAAAGTATTTTAAATAAAAGAAAAATAAACACATCCTGCTAATCCTAAAGTCCGGGGATCTGTGACCTTAAACAAGCATCGAATCCACAATGCTTCTGGTATTATTCAAAAATTCAACCCTGACAGAGTTTCTTCTTGAATCCTGGGCTGAGATGCCCAGATTTTAGCAGAGAGAGAGAGAGAGAGAACGCGTCTGCCTCGCTATCGTTTGCCCTCCCTCACCTTTCAATCCAAACGTTCCTGAGATGGACGGCTGCTCCCCGGTAAACTTCTTAGGAGTTTTCTGTTTCCTTCCTAACTCAAAAAGGAGAAAACGGAAATAAAAAATTGGTCAAACATCCGTCTGGAATTTCCAAAGGAAGGGCACAAAGGCATGGTTATGAAGAGGTGCAAAAAACCCCCACAGAAATTTGTTTCCAGGCAACACCTGAGCTAGCACACATCCCACATACTTTACGCTTTTAAAAAAAGCAAGAGTTTAAACAGCATCAACGGAAACCACAAGGAGGGATACAATGAGTGTTAACGAACCTCACAATCTCCTTAGACCTTCTGAGAACAAAGGGTAATGGCCAGAGGTAAGCCAGGGGTCCCCAACCTTTTTGACACTGTGTTGAGGGGGGGGCGGGGTCCGTGGGGGGGCACCCCTGGACTCATGCGCATAGGGATGGTGCTCACTTGCACGGGCACTTGGACACTTGCGTGCATGTGCAAAGGGGCGCTTGCACGGCGCCTACACAGCCTCACGTGCATGCATGAAAGGGGCAGGGCGCATGCCTACGTGGGCTGTGTGGGTGGGCATGCAAGGGGGGAAGTGTGTGCAGGAGTGGGTGGGAGATCTGTCTCCCTGGACTCATGCGCATAGGGATGGTGCTCACTTGCACGGGCACTTGGACACTTGCGTGCATGTGCAAAGGGGCGCTTGCACGGCGCCTACACAGCCTCACGTGCATGCATGAAAGGGGCAGGGCGCATGCCTACGTGGGCTGTGTGGGTGGGCATGCAAGGGGGGAAGTGTGTGCAGGAGTGGGTGGGAGATCTGTCTCCACGGCCCAGGAGTGTGTGTAGGAGTGGGTGGAGATCTGTCTCCACGGCCCAGTCCGGTCAAGGCCACGGACCGGGGATTGGGAACCCCTGATGCGAGCCATGAAATCCTACCCTGTATGGCATGAGGAATAAATAAACCCAGGCTTCAATGAGCCCCTTTGCTCATTAGGCGGTCTACTGCGCCTCTGCATGCTTGATTGGCCCTCTGCCTCCCATCAGTCTCCTCTCCTACATAGGCAGTTCTGCCAGATGTCATCCAGGAGAGACATCATTGAAGGATGCTGTTGCTTGCATCTCTGCATGCTCAGGGTTTCCCTTCCATTGACTGAAATGCAGTAGTAACTCACAACCAGAGGAGTCCCATTGAATCAATGGAATTTAGATAGGTCCTGGTTCACAAAACCCCCAATGATTCAACAGGGCTACTCTAATTGTGATTAGGGACTCATGTAGAAAGTCCAGAAGGTGGCTGCCTTAAAGGGTGGTTAAGACCTGCTGGATAATAGCCCAGTGGTTTAGGCATCTGGATGCAGAGCTAAAGGTTGGGAGTGCCTCCTTAACAGGGGCTGGACTTGATGCTCCTTAAGAAGGGCAGGACTTGATGATCCGCAGGGTCCTTTCCAGCCAGAGCGGACGAAAATCAATGATGGCTTAAAATAAAATTGATGTAAACCAAAATTTAAATCTAAAACATGTTTTTTTAAAATTTAACCCGATTTTAAAAATGCAGTTTTAAAAATTTTAATCACAATTTAAATCAATTTAAAACAAATCCGCCCGGCTTCTGCCTCTCCAGTTCTACAATTATTATATCATTATAATATGACGATGATACAGTGGTGCCTTGCAAGACGATTTTAATTCGTTCCGTGAAAATCGTCGTCTTGCAAAAAAAAAACCCCGGAATTTATTCGTCTTGTGAGGCATTGGTCTCAGGAAAAAAAAAAGGTCTTGCGAAGCACGGCCATAGGAAAAAAAAAGTCTTGTGAGGCACCATAGGGGAAAAAAAAGGTCTTACGAAGCGCAGCCATAGGGAAAAAAAGTCTTGTGAGGCACCATAGGGGATCGCGAAAACCAATCGTCTTGCGTGTTTTTCGTCCCCCAAGGCAATCGTCTTGCGAGGCACCACTGTATATCATAATAAGGGCATTCTATCATTCTTAAATCCCCAGTTGGGGGGAAGTTAGGTTTTGGACTACAATCCCATGAATTCCTGAGCCAGCACTCGCTTCTCCAAGTCACTTTTCCCAGCTCTGAAATGTTCATTTCCGAATCTGAAATCCAGGAAAGGGGTGGCGTGTCTGAGCCACTCCTTTGGGAAACACTGCTCTAATCTTACTGTGTTTCATCCTTTCCGGGTCTTCTTCCTGCACAACGGCCGCCGGCCTGCTCGTCTGGTGCTTGGATCCCCTGCTGCCCAACGGCTGAGCTGCCGGGGCGGTCTTGAACTCTCTGCTGCCTTGGTTCACAGCCGCGCACTCCCCATTCTCAGGCCGCTGTACGGTCACGGCCTTCTTCTCTACCTTTGCCTGTTTGGGATGGATGGTGGGGGAACCTGAACCCTCGGCAGCTCTAGGGCAAAGCACAGAGGGCTGGTTGAAAAGGGGAGTTAAAACACCGAGCCTTTTTACAGCTGACCGCCTCTTCCATCCCAAAGACACCCCCCTCCACCCACCCAGGGACACCTGCCCTCTCCTCTGGCTCAAAAGCCATGCCTCTGTACCTTTTCTTGCCTCCGCTCTTGCTAACGGCTTTCGACACTTTCTTTTCCACCGGCGGGGCGATGGCCGGCAACGGCCGATCCAGATGGTTCCAGAGACGGTGCTTTTCCAGCTGGGTTTTTGAAGCGAACACGGCTTCACAATACGGACAAGGGAAGGTTTGTTTTTCCACAATGGCACCCTGCCAGGGAGCAGAAAGAGGGAGAAGAAAGTGACATTGAGAGCAGAAAGGAAGACTTCTAGCCCAGCGGCTACCTGTTTTACATCCCCAGATGTTACTGGGCTACAATACCCTGAATACCACCTGGTTTGGCTGAGTGGAGACCTCCTGTCCATCCAAGTTTGGGAACCATAATTCAAACAGGCTAGAACTAGGGTTTTCTGGGACCTATCAGGATCCGTGGGGACAGCTGTACTCCAAAAGAAGTAACTGCTCCGAGACCTCCAGCTGACAATCAGGTCTTCAAATCAGAGCTTTCAAATGTCACCTTCTGGGTCCCAAAAAAGGACCGTCCCAAATTCCTACTGACAACATGCCGTGCTAAAATCTGAGACAATCTTTCGAAAATCTTCAGGAATTTGTCATAGGACTTCTAAATCGGTATGTAGTCGCCTGTGTATAAAACACTTCTGAATCCTATCCTGGTGGGGTTTCTTTCCTAGCTGAGGATTGCTAGCCACAGAAAAGGTCATGTCAAGATAGGTCTTCCTATCTAAGAAAAGGCATGATGCCCTTTCTGAGGCGGTATGGGCCACACGTACTTTTCCAAACACCTGGACTGAAAAGATGAGCAATTTAAAAATATTTGCTGGCTTGTGAATCAGAGACACCCTTTTAAACCCAACAGCCCCCCCCCCACTAGTGCTGCAACAACATGTATATCTTTGATTCTTCCCTGTGATCTCTGACATTTTTACTCATGATGAAGGGTTTTTTTTATTATGCAACAGATGAAACCTAGTTTGGGAATGATTGCTAAACACCACAGAAGACACCGATCAAGTTCAAAATGATCTTAATGATCTGGTAGGCAAAGCTGAAGCCCATCTGATGAAACCGAAAGGAGAGCATTATAGTCTTGCATTTAGATACGAAAGAACAAATGAAAATTGTTCAGCAGCTTACAAAGTGTAGGTTGGAGAGACCTGACTACTTACCTTAGTTCAGTGGTTCCCAACCTTGGTTAAATCAGGTGTTCTTGGACTGCAGTTCCAAGAAACCTTCACCACTAGCTGTGCTGGTCAGAGTTTCTGGGAGTTGCAGTCCAAGAACACCTGGATACCCAAGGTTGGGAAACACGACCTTAGTCGATCACAATGTGAACAAGAACCATCTGTGTGATGCGACTTTTTAAAAAAATGAAATTTTGGGATGAATCAAGAGAAGCAAGGTGTCCAGATCACAGATCTCCTCCAGCAGCCGACCACTCAGACAAGAAGGCAGGAACGGGGATTCTCCCTGCACAGCCACTGAGTGTTCGGCTGCCTGAGGAGGCAGGGAAGGGCAAACTGAGTTCCTGCCCGGACGGGAGAAGGAGGACCCCAGCTGTCTGCAATGGAATGTGAGTGGAACAGCCAGCTGGAGGTGGCAGTGGGGAGGCCACACGGAGGATTTTGTACAAAGCAGCACAAATCAATTTTTGCCCATCTCTAGCTTCAACATTCCCAAAGAAGGGAAGAGGATATCACCAGACGAAATCAATTTGTGCCCATCTCTAGCTTCAACATTTGCAAAAAAGTTCCCCAAAGAAGGGAAGAGGATATCACCAGACTTTGTGAGTCTTTGGCAAAGTGTGTCAAAACCTGTGGAGTTAACACTTGAAAGATGCCGTTCAAGACACATGCCCTCTTTCTCCTCCCTCTCCAGCCAATAGTATATTTTCCAAACATCCCAACTATCTTATGCAAAACTATGTTAAACTGGACTGGGAAGAAGCCAGCCAAGGCTTTAAATGTAAATCCACAGGCAAAACGTGGACCAAAACTACCTAGCCAGTAGGGTTACTAGCTATGCTGGCTTCCAGATGTTGGGGGTTGCGGTCCAAAATACTAACTTTCCCAAGCTGTGCCCAGCTGAATTATTCACCACGTTTTTGTATACCAACTCTACCTCCGTCACAGGTGGCAGGTGGATTTTCAAACTCCAATCAGACCAGCCACCAGAGTTAATACAATGAACGATTTGTTGTTAATAGGAAAATAACAAGAAATAAATGAGTTTGTATGGCTGACGTACAGTGGTGCCTCGCTTAACAATTACCTTGTTAAACGACGGATCTGCTTGATGGTGAGGTTTCTGCAATTGCTTTTGCGATTGCAAAACGATGTTTCAATGGCCAAAAATCGCTTTATGATGATCGGTTCCCTGCTTCGGGAACCAATTCTTCGCATTATGACAATCTGAAAACAGCTGATCATCAGCTTTCAATGGCCGCCCGCTGTGCAAAATGGCTCCCCGCTGTTCTTAGGAGCCATTTTTCGCTTTACAGGCACTGGAAAATGGCGGCCCTATGGAGGATCTTCACTGGACGATTAGGTATTTAGCCCATTGGAACGCATTGAACCGGTTTTCAATGCACTTCAATGGGTTTTTTAATTTTCGCTTGACGAGGATTTCGTTCTACAGCGATTTTGCTGGAACGGATTATGCTTGTCAAGTGAGACACCACTGTATAGAGTTGAAACTATACAGCTGCTGACAGCCAGCCAGTCTTTAGCAGCACATTAAAATTAGCTCAGAGGAGGTGGGTTATATGGCACAAAACTCTACACCAAATATAATCTGTTAGTCTTTAAGATGCTGTAAGGTATTCTGCAGGAATTGCAAAAGGAGCAGCAACTTTAGTCTGGAGACTATAGCTGCAAAAACAACAAGAGGTTTGTGATTCCTTAGAACAGTGTTTTTCAGCCTTGGGAACCCAGATGGTCTTCGACTAAACCTCCCAGAAGCCTTCACCACTAGCTTTGCCAGCCAGGATTTCTGGGAGTTGTAGTCCAAGAACATCTGGACACCCAAAGTTGGGAATCACAGCTTTAGAGCCTTGTTGTTGTTTAGTCGTGAAATCGCCTCCGACTCTTTGTGACCCCATGGACCAAAGCACGCTGGCCCTTCCTGTCTTCCACTGCCTCCCAGAGTTGGGTCAAATTCATGTTGGTGATACTGTCCAGCCATCTCGTCCTCTGTTGTCCCCTTCTCCTCTTCCCCTCACGCTTTCCCAACATCTGGTTCTTTCCCAGGGAGTCTTTTCTTCTCATGAGATGTCCAAAGTATTGGAGCCTCAGCTTCAGGATCTGTCCTTCCAGGGAGCACTCAGGGTTGATTTAGAGCCTACCAAGTCTTATCTAGTATAAGAGAATTTACTTTCCTGGTTGAAAGTAAATTCTCATTGCATCTAAAGAAAGCTGCAGTTCACCCATACATACGCCAAATAAATCGTATTAGCTTTCAGGGTGCCGCAGGGCCTTGCTCTTTTTTTGCTACATGAGACTTTTAGGACATTCAAACAGTGATATAGAAGGACAGATCTCACATTGAACACAACACGGTTATAGATATGGGTCATGAAAAAAGGAACACAGACCTCTATCTTCCTTACCCCTAGACAGCGCTGGTAATGGTACTTCAGCCCATAGATGCTGGGAAATTCCAGCCAACAGCCAGTGTTGGGACATTTCACCCTGGAATGGGCCTTGAATTCTTCTTTCCATTGGTTCATGAGAGGCAGCTGGGAAGAGAGAGAGAGAGAGATGCCCACAGGGTAGAGGGAAGAGATGACAAAAATGAGAACACCAAAAAAAAATCAAAGGACAATAGACTCTTCTATCAACTGTTCATTCCTTCTTACTGTTGCTGGTTTGGGGCTTAAAACGACCCAAGGGATCAAAAGAGATGACAAAAATGAGAACCAAAAAAAAATAATAATCAAAGGACAATAGACTGTTCATTCCTTCTTAATGTTGCTGGTTTGGGGCTTAAAACGACCCATGGGTACAGTATCCTATTGAGCTTTTGCTGAGCATGCTATTTGCATAAGCATAGCTGTTGCGCAAACCAAGGGCAGGTTTATTTCATGGGTAACTTGCACAATGACCATGTAAGGATGGGATTTCCTGATTTCTTGGGACTACAAATCCGCTAATTCCCCATTCTGGGAGTTCTACCTGAACGGCACCCAACTTACAGGCATCTCACCGTGGTTCACCGGGGAGAAAAGGCCTCCACTGGAAGTCTTTGGAGGCTTAGCTAGGCTGAGATCCACCCAAGCTTCTTGCTCCTACCCCAATGGTAGCTCTGAACAGCCTTTAGCTAGTGTGGTTCCCCTCCAGATGTGACGATCTACAGCTCCAATGGTGGCTGCGGAAGACGGAAGCTGTACTCCCGCACATCTGGAGGGCAACTTAGAGAAGAACGTTGACGGCAGTGTTGCCACCACCCATGTTGACTAAGGCTCCTCCACATTTGAAGGATTTGGTGTGGCTCCTACCCAGCTGTGGACCTCCTCTGTGGTGTGCAGCTGAGCATCTCAATCTATAAGAACCCAGTGGTTTTCAGGTGGACCTCAGGACCCCCTTCCCCTATCCCAGGGGGCTACCTGCTGTTGACAAACTGCGATGCTGTGACCTGTAAGCCATTCCTTCTTCTATTCAGCTGCTGGTAATGGGAATAGTTAGCTGCCTCACAATGGCCGCCCATTCGCTTACGAATGGAGGTCTATGGATTTCCTTCCCCTGTACAAAGTATTAATGATGACATATAAAAACCTAAATGGTTTATGACCTCAATATCTGGTGGAACATCTTCCTCCACCTAGATCTACCCAAATCACAGTAATGGGAATAGTTAGCTGCCTCGCATTGGCTGCCCATTCGCTTACGCATTGATTTCAAAGTATTAATGATGACATATAAGGCCCTAAATGGTTTAGGACCTCAATATCTGGTGGAACTTCTTCCTCCACCTAGATCTACCCAAATCACTTGCTCTAGCCAGGATGGGAGGCTGAAAAGCCTAATGCTGAGGGAAGCGTGTAGGGAAAAAACAAGAAATCAGGCCTTCTCGGCAGTGGCCCCTCACATCTTCCCTCCCCCCAGAAATTTGTCCGGTTCCCTCGCTGGGTGTTTTTAAGAGCCAACTCCTGGCTCTTTAGGCAGGCCTTCCCCGCCTGTCATTACTTAATCTATTTCTTGCCGTCTTGAATTGTATTAATGCTGTCATTTTATTTTATTCTGTTATTATTTGGATTGCTGTTAGCCGCCCAGAGCAGAGTTTGGCCAAGACTGGGCGGGATACAAATTAATTAAATTAAATAATGAGGAGCAGAGCAGGGAGCATGGCATTTATGGGATGGCAGCCCCCAGCAGCCAGGCTGGCTGATGCGTTTTTTTTGAGTTAACATTCCAAAAAGGTCCAATTTTCCAAACTCTGGATTAAATCCATAAAACCCGACTCTGTTCTGCTCCCTCTCTCTTCCCTTCTCTCCAGTTGTTTGAAAAGGTGATGGATAATTAAAATCTTACAGGAATATCTTTCAGGGCCTGGCTGTCTGCTTTCGGCCGTCCTTTCCTCTTGCCTTCTGTTTTGTCAGTGGTTGCATTCCCTGCAAAGACAGAACAGGATTGGGCGGGAGGGGGGGGAGGTCAGAAGGAGAAGATGGGCGACATCAATGGATCTGTCAATCTGACATCTTACTTGGAGGTCCATGGATTTCCTTCCCCTATACAATCTAGAAGAGTCAGTATCTCTATCTAGAGGCGGGATTTCAGATTTCCTGGACTACAGATCCCACAATTTACAATTTTGGGAGTTCCGCGGACTCACACCTTTCGGGCACATAGATGTGGGCTCACCTTGGAGAAAGGCCTTAACGGGCCAGTTTTGAGGCTGAGCTAGGCCTAGCTGTGTCCAAGCTTCCTGTTCAGAAAGGAAAATCCCAGCTAGGACTGGGGCAGGAACAGGAAGTTTGGGTGCAGTTCAGGCTCAAAGTCAACCAACTGAGACAGTTCAGTGGAGATACATTAAAATCCCAGATTCTTGTGTCCAGTCCAGAATCTGTTTCTTAAGAATCTTGATTTTTTTCCATTTGAAAAGCAAAACACACAAACTCAAATTTCTAGTCCTCAAGGTTTGTGCCCAAGTGTGTCTGTTTCTCCTGTCTCATCCTTATGCTATCAGCGCTTACGAATGAGTGCCTGGAAAAGTTATATGTATTTTTTGGACTACAAGTCCCAGAATCCCTCAACCAGTAAGCCTTCTGGCCAACAAAGGGCCCGTGTGATAGTCCTCCATCTTTTAGAGATGTGGCATCTCATAATTATAAAAGCAATTAAAAACTTCTAATGGCACTTAAAAAAGGAGTGGTTCTCTCTCACTAAGTTGCAGCCCTAGTGTAATCTGCGGTGTCTTAATTACTGTAAAAAAAAGCAAGTCCTTCTAAATAACAAGCTGTTCATAATTAGTTATTCAATGAAGGAAGCCCCAACCTTGAGTCGGCATGGCGGCTGACGACAAAACATTTCCGAGGTCACTTCTTCACAGGCCTGCCTCAAGTCGGAAGTTACTTGACAGCGCATAAGAACAACTTATGTAGTAACTACGTAGTTACTTTCAAACTCTATGAAAGGTAACTCGATGACAAGAGAAACCAGAGGACTGGCTGCTGGGAACCTTCTTTGGGAAGGGACAGCCCAACATGCTTGAAAGTTGGCAGATCGGTGGGGGGGGTGGGGGAGAACCCTGGCCGAGGGTGCCTCCTTTCCTTTAAAATGTAGCCCCCTCCCCATTGACTCCACCTCTCCACCTGGGAAAGTGACCCGCTCGCTTACCAAGCCTCGATGGGTCGTACGCTGGGTTGATCTTCATCTCCGCGTTGTTACTTTCTTTGTCTGCGTTACTTCTGCTGGACACGGCAACCTTTTTTCCAATCCTGTAAGAATAAGGATCTGCCATGGCTGGCGACAAAGGAGAGAGAGAGCACGATCAGGCATTCCCAAGGAGCACGAAGCTTGGAGAAATATATATATATATATATATTGGACTATGTAGAATCCCTTGGGTAGATGGTGGATCCGGGGAGTTACCACTCAGATAACGAACTTCTCCATGCAATGATGAGCTTTGATGATGAGCTGTGATAGGATTTGGGGAAGTGGGCAATCAATCTATAGAGGTCCAGAGACCACACATGACGACCTGTGGACCATCAAGGGGACACACCTTCTCCTGTAACCAAACAACCCCACACACACCCCACTGCTACACCCTCCTTTTCTCTAAAGAAATGGTGAGGGATGATTAAACCCCACTGGTCCTCTAATGGCCATATATATCTGTACAGTATGTATGTACAGTATATATATGTGTGTGTGTCTATGAATAAAAGTGGCCATGGGGTTGTGAAGCCAACAGGCCTCAGAAAGCCCGAGCAAAATAATAATATACATATTTTTTGCAATACATTTTTGTTTGTGTGGAAGCACTGTCTGCTCCAAGTTTTAGTTCGAACATTACAGGAGCTATCCAAGATACTCAAGTATGCATAGCTCTTCATACCAAAAAATGGACCACATTAATCCACCCTGTGAAAATGGAATCATCAGCCACAAGAAAATATTTTTCGGGAACACTTTATAGGATGTGGGGGGGTGGGGAGGTTAAGCATTCACTCAGCCTGCAGAAACTCCCAGATTCAGCCCGGTCAACTAACATATAAAACAGGGATGTACACTGGGTTTTTGGGGGGTGGGGGTGGGGGGAGAGGAACCAACCCTGTAGGGTTATTTGAAGGATATTTAAGAATGTCTGGCTCGGATGCTGGCTGGTCAGAGAAGACACCTGTCATCTTCAGATCGGTTTTCACAAACCTACAAATCATTCCATTTTTGCTTTGGGATTTTTGGGGTTAGCAAAATGCTGGGTTTTTTTGGTGGGACAGGGGTGGGAGGACTATCTGGCTAGCTCAGCAAGTTGGAAAAACTCAGCTAAAGAATTAGAGGCTGGGAGTTCAATTCCCTACCATGGCTTGTAAAAGGTGGGGCCGTCTGTGTAGCCCTGGGTGAGTTTCGCAGTCACAGAGCATCCAGCAGAAAAAGAGAAGCCTCTTCTGAGCTATCTGTACCTAGAAAACCCTGGACCATGCCACCATCGGTCAGAATCCACTTGATGGCAGGTAATTACAGTATTATTATTTATCAGAAGGAGTTTGACCACTGAAAAGCCCAGTGAAAGCCAAAACCGCTCCTGGGAACTTGAATTCCTGAGCCTCTGGGGAGGTTTCTGAGCAACCTAAGGTAGCCCTAAGCCTGTTCACACACCTGACCGTCCCTTTCACATTTAGATATGCCAAAGTGCATCCCTTAAAAGGCTAGAATTGCCTTCCTTTTCAGCCACCTAGCTACACTGAGTCATCGCTACACATAGAACTGAGTGTATGTGTACTGACTCTCTTGTATGGGCGAAGGAAGGAAGGAAGGAAACCAGCTACCTGGTAGGAGCTCTGCCTATACATGGAACGTCTCCTACATTCCCAACATTGATAGTGATGCACAGCGCCATCCATCCCGAAGTCACAGTCCCTCCCTCTTTATCTCCCAATCTGCAAATGTCGAACACCTGCATGAACTTTAGAACAAACTGGTTCAGGCTGCCTCCAAACCAGTTCAAGGCAGGTTGATCTTGATCTGTAGTGCAAATATTCCAGCAGGGCAACCAGAGCCGTCTCAGTGTCATGGCATGACCTAAACCCCAACGGAAATGGATCACGAACACCTGTGGCTGAGCAGCCGCCACCCTCTCAATCAGTCTATAGTGCATTAGTGATGGATTGGAAGTCATTTATATTATATGTCCCCACGCTGGGCTGTTTAAGAATGAGCCAGACAGTTTCTCCTTCAGACAGAGGGGGTACGAATCGTTCCTCCCTAAAGAGGAGTTTATGATCTGAATGTCCCGTTCTACTGTTACCTCCTTAGCTAATTTAAGAAGCCAGGAGGGGCCTGGATGTTGAGATTTTGATATGAAAATGTAGTAAATATTAATGTTGTATAGTTAAATGTAATATGGCTGATTTTCCCTGAGTCACTGTACTGACTGTATTCAGGTGTGGGTATCAAGGATTAAGACTTAATGCTGTACAGCTGTGTACAGGATTAAACTTTGTGTAGCAGAAAATAAAGTACAGTGGTGCCTCGCATAACGAGCGCCCCATTTAATGACAAATCCGCATAGCGATGCGGATTTTGCGATCGCAAAAGCGATTGCATTGCGATGTTCTGAATGGGCGAAAATCGCATTGCGATGATTGGTAAGCATTTCGCTTACCGATCTTCGCATTGAGATGTTTTTTAAACAGCTGATCTGTGGTTCAAAAATGTCCACCGGGTGAAGAAAATGGCTGCCCGCAGCGTTTTCACAGTTTCCTCGCTTACCAGGGCAGCGAAAATGGCGGCCGTATGATCTTTGCATAACGGTGAGTTTCCCCCCATAGGAACGCATTAAACAGGGTTTAATGCGTTCCTATGGGGTTTTTTGCCCCGTATAGCAACGATTCCGGATAGCGACTATTTATCCGGAACGGATTATCGTCGCTATGCGGGGCATCACTGTAATGTATTTTCTGATTGGTCCCAGATCTGTACACAAGTCATGTGTAAAATGAACATCTCTATCTGCTGTAAGTCAGATCACTTTTTCCTATGCTCTGTGTTGCTCCATGTCATGTTATGCTGCCAGAGGAATGTTTATTATCTATGTATATACTGTATGTAAATAGACTAAGTTGTTGGTTTTAATCTCTCAGTGTCATAGTGTCATAAGTATCTCTGCTAACCAATATCTCCTTATTCTGCTGATGTTATGAGTATACACGTTATAATCAGAATTCTCAACAAGACGTTGAGAGGTTTAAGGCCACACCAAGAAGTGTGGCCTTAAAGTGTGCAAGCACCTTGTCAACATCCTCAGGCATCACAGGCGGAAATCGATCCAGTACCCTGTTTCCCTGAAAATAAGACCTAACCTGAAAATAAGCCCTAGTATGATTTTTCTGGACGCTCGTAATATAAGCCCTACCCCAAAAATAAACCCCAGTTGAAACCCCGCCCTCCACCATGGTGCAGTCACCAGAAGATGACATGACTATATTTGAATAAATGTAGATTGTTGTACATGAATAAAAAAATAAAACATCCCCCGAAAATAAGCCCTAATGCATTTTTGGAGCAAAAATTAATATAAGACCCTGTCTTATTTTCGGAGAAACACGGTACAACCGGACAAGATGGCACATTAGACAAAGTGAATTTTTAAAGGGATTATTTTACTGTGGTTTTACTTGCCTATTTAATATTGTATTTGTGATTTTTAATATATCTATTTAATGCTTTTCATATTGTAATAATTTCTTATTTAGCTTTTAACTTTCTTTTACTACAGTAAGCCACTTTGGATCCTTTAGTAGAAAGGCAGCATATAAATATTTTAAAGAAAGAAAGAAAATGATGAATATTTGGATACCAACAGGATCGGACCTTACTTACACACCCTTAACTCCAAAACTGTCAACGAGAAATTGCTCAAATGCTACTCTTAGCTAGAAGAGAATGGCCAAACCCAACCGGACACAATCGAGATATGTGAGACTACCACTCCCATAATTCCCATTCAGCTTGCTCATGACGGTTGATGGATATTGTAGTACCAGTGCGTGTGGCCAATGCCACGTTAGGAATGGCTGCAACAGATGGTCTCAGGTGGATCATCCTAATCGCCAGACCTACTACTGGCAATAGCTTTCCCTTTTGAGTTGTTTCCAAACATATCTGGACCCACTTAGCTACTGAACGAGAGAGGCAGATGAAGCTTCTCCATCAATTGCAGACACTTTATATTAAAACCAAGCTCAGACCATGTGCAAACATTTTTAAAAAAGTTATTACACAGAATTGCCTGGTTTTCTCCGAAAGCACCAAAGGAGAAAAGCCGGCTCCTCTGTGTGTCTTCTTTCATTTTCACTGTAAGACTGCAGGAAGGGAGAGGCAGGAAATTTTAATGAGATCTGCGTGATAAATTTCCAATTTTCTTCATTAATGGGAAGCGGTTCTAAACAGAGGAATGTGAATCTTGTCTAAATTCTCAGTATTAATTATTGAAGTGGTCTTTTGTATGAAATCATGAGAATCTAGGTGGTGGTTGGGGGGTTTTCTTCAGAAGGCTTTTAAAGCCTTTCCCCTTCTTCTTCCATATTTTAAGCCAAAGCTCACCAGCAGCTTTGACTGAAGGGTGCCTTCTGGCGGAAATTCCCAACATGGTGAAGTGGCATAATAAGCAAGCCACTTCATGATGTCAGCAAACTCAACACTTCCTCAACTCCTTCACCTTTAGCTGTGCTGGTTGGGGGTTTCTGGGAATTGTAGTCCAAGAACAGTGGGGGGGGTGGTCTAAGCCTTAGACTCTAAGGGGTCAGAATCCTGCACCACATGGCCATTCCCCTCCCTGAAAGACAGATATGTTTGTTCGATGTTAAGAAAGACTGGAAAAGTTATTTCTTCTGGCTACAGCTCCCTGCATCTTCATTGGTGGAAGCAGATTATAAACCACAAACACACGAATGAAATCCGTTCACTCCTAATAGTGTCACAAAGTTTTTCTTTTCGGTTCTGTCTTATATTCGAAGGGACATGGTGGCGCTGCGGGTTAAACCTCTGAAGCCTCTGTGCTGCAAGGTCAGAAGACCAGCTGACATGTAAGATTGAATCCACACAACGGAGGGAGCCCCCGTCGCCTGTCCCCAGCTCCTGCCAACCTAGGAGTTCGAAAGCATGTAAAAAATGTGAGCAGATAAATAGGTACCACCACGGTGGGAAAGTAATGGTGTTCCGTGTCTAGTCGCGTTGGCCACGTGACCATGGAAACTGTCTTTGGACAAATGCTGGATCTACGGCTTGGAGATG